CTCGAGACAATCTTATATAATATATAATTTTCTTATAAACAGTTTTGACACTTATTTTAACATAAAAATGTGTACAATATTTTAGCTCTAAGAGTGTGAATTTTTTAAACCCATTTTTCTCAAAACTATACACGGGTGGTTGGCGGGTGCTCTGGTGTGGTTTGCTCTTTCTTTCCTATCGAATATCTATCATCCTTATCTCCCCTTCTTCTTTTTTTGTTGTTGTTTGTTACTCTCTTGTAACACCTCTAATCTTCTGGCGCTCATATGACCTTAAGCAGTTGCGAGCGCCGTAAAACCTCTACTAAAACTACTAAACTAACTATTCAATACTATACAGCTTTCGTCGTGGAGTTAGAAGCCGGTCGTTAAGGGTGCGATACTACGTAATAGTCGTCGAACCTGCCTCCGCAGCCACCTCTCTCCATAGCGGTTACTTGTATTAACGGCCAGTGTTCCATGACAGTTGTGTTTTTAATCTTGTTCTTTACGGGGGGCTCTCGTGGTCTAGAGATCACAGTGTTTGCCTCTCATTCAATAGGTCACGAGTTCTGATCTGGACTGCAACGGAAACATTTTCTTCTCCAAAAATTGTTTTCCTTTCACATCCTTTCCTGCTCTCTAACCGTATTCTATCGTTTGCTTTCGTCTCCACTTTCTGCCCCCTTCCCCCTCCCCTTGCCTTTTGAACCCCTCTTCTGGACTCCTGACTTTCTGCAGCCTTGCTATTGCTCCTCGGTTCCTTTTTATTGTGCTGTCTTTCTTCCACACCCCTGATCTAATGGTAGGTAAGATCTAACACCAAGTCTTCTCGGATAATGGCGAAAAATCAATCTCGGAGGTTCCGTGTGCAAGTTGCGCATATAAAAGATCCCTTGATGGTCCAAAATCGATAAGAGTAGGCTCCGGCTGCCGCCCGGTCAAAATTCAAAATGTCCTACCATCTGGAAAATGTTAATGTGTCCCGCACGCTCATACGACTTTGTGTCGTTTTTACGAGGGCGGTAAAACACTTTCTAAGAAAAGAAATATTCTTAACCTATCCATAGTAGTCCTTGTTCAAGGCGGCCACAACTGTGTCAGTCGTTTGTGTGACAAGTAGGACTCATACATATTATATGCCTTATATGTACATGTATTGTATTTTAGGCGCAATATATTTATATATATATATATATATATATATATATATATATATATATATATATATATATATAATATAATATACATGTATATTATATATATATAGAGAGAGGGGGGGAGTGTGTGTGTGTATAGAGAGAGAGAGAGAGAGAGAGACTGAATCTCGTGGCAGCATGGTGTCTGTATTAATTAAATTAAAATGTGCAGTTGCGCACGTTAAAGATCCCTTGGTGGTTTTAAAATCGATAAGAATACGCTTCGGTCACCAACCGTGCGAAAGGATGCTGTGTCCGTAACACAAGTGCTCAAACAGTGAAATAGTCTTGTTATTTCAATACAAATGTGTGACTCTTTCCTTGTCTAATCTCTAATTGGGTGACAAATTCATAATAATTTTCTCTTTTCTGTACATAAAAAAAATATAGTCGAGAGTCCTTATTTTCCCCCCTCCCCCCACCCCTCCCTCCGACTACCCACCCTTTTCCCCCTTTCTAAGACATCATGGATTGTTAACACTGATTCAAAAATCCCCGAACTGATTGCTAAAGACTAATTATTTCCTTTCACTCCTGACTACTGATGTTACTGCTGCTGTCAGCTCTGAATGTGTCTAATTTCTAGACATGTGTTTTTGTGCATCAGTGACAGATTCATCTACCACCACAACGACGACCACCTCAACCACCACCACCACAACAACAACGATAGCAACAACAGTAATAATAACAACAACAACAAAAACAACAACAACAACGACGACGACGACGACGACAGCAACAACAGCAACACTCCCCCCCCCCCTTCCACCTCCACTGAAAAAACAACCGAAAAAAGCAAAAAAAAGTTAACTCGGTTTTGTTTTGTTTTTTTGTTAGCGTGCTTGTTTTTTAATTAAATAAAGAACATACTAAAGTAAATCAAATAGCACAGACGGGGGATTTCCAGACGCGATAAGATAATAAAACCAAATGGTATTTCCACGACGTTGTTGTTTCAGGTAGAGCAGCCTTCAACTTGTCATTGCTTTTTTCCTTTTCAGTTTCAATTGTTTTAAAAAGTAAAAAATCTGGGAATACATTTGAACATAGTACATGTACATGTATTATTAAAATATAACTTAAGCTACTACAACACGCCTGTAATTAAGAAGATTGAGATGGCTGGGCCATGTCAAGAGAATGGACGACAACCGGATTCCGAAGCAACCTCTCTGTGGAGAACTTGCCCAGGGAAAGAGACCAAGAGAAAGGCCAAAATTGTGGTACAAAGACAAAGACACCTGCAAAAACAGCTTACCTAAGTTTGGAGTAGATGTGAGAATCTGGGAAGAAATAGCTGAGGACAGGAAAACATGGAGGAAAATGATAAAGAAAAGACTATAATGCTATAGAGCAGCCTAAGAAACAACCAGGCTGATATGCGCCAACGACGAAAAGAAGACAGCGGAAATACAGAGCTTCGATCCAAGTCACTGACATGCAAGCACTGCGACAGAATCTGCGTTTCAAACATAGGAAGTATTAGCCAAGAAATAAGCTGCAAGAAGATAACTTGAGACCATCTTCTTAAGCTAAACTGAATGTCTGCAAAGACAAAAAGAGCCATAGACACACTACAATTACTTTCTTTCAATTTCAAACAAGGCACACAAAAAACCCGAGTTTAAAAAAAAAATTACAACGAGGATGTTCCTTAAGTATTCACTTTGTTTCTATTCTTTGCTTCCTCTTGCATCGTTCGGAGGGCGAGGGGAGGTGCATTTTTAAAAGCCTTTTAGTGTGCTTTTTTATTGTAGATATTACGTTTTTCTGTTGGAAGAACGAAAAGTAAAGAAATTAGATTCTATTAGCAAGAGGCTTTCAATAATTATAAACGCCGTAACATTCTCAGATAGCATATTATTATGCAGCGGCCACACCCCGAATACCTCGCCACACCAGCACTCTTCCCTGCCCTTAATTCTGTGACTTTATCTGCCTAGACATTATATAATATTATACCGGTTACTTGGTTACACCAGATGTCCTAGTCTGTGACCTTCAAGCGCTTTTCTTTTTTAAAAGAATTTTTCACAAACCTGTGATATGCAGGGCCAATGTCAATATTAACAATTTATTATCTTGATTTTTTTGCTTCTCTAGTTACCTTTGTTTTACTTTTTTTTTCACATGTCATGACCTTTCTGTCGCTGTGAATGGTCAAGACAGAGTTTTTTCCATTAACCCACGTCGATGGAGTAATCGCTTTTAAAAGTCTTATATAAAAGTGTCCTACGTCTTTTTCTTTTTTTTACATTTTAACACTTTTAAATTATATAAAAATTGTTAATTTTCTTTTTTATTCAGATT